AGGGTAGTGTGACCCCATTCACTTAAAGTCCCCAAACAGCTAACATCAAACTGCATGGCTTGAAGGTGGTTGCTCAGGTGGTCACACTTGCAAAACAAAGACATGACTGACAGACCCACAGGGATAGAGGTGGCCTCTGAGGGAAGGGGTTGTCTCAGTCTGGGAGGAGCCATCATGGGTGTGGCAGCTGGGATGTCCTACTTGGGGGAGGCGATGTGGGTGTCAGTCCTCTGTACAGGGAGACTTCCCACTCTGGTTTTGCCTTTTTCTGTATCATCTATCACAACTAAATAGAATAACCGTGCCTAGAAAACACGCATCAGGCTGGTGAGATGGCTCAGTGGTCTAAAGCACCTACTTAGAACAAGCTTAGCAAAGCACAGGGACCGCGGTTCAATCCCCAGCACCACATGCCAGCCAGCCCCGCCCCCTGGTGGGCTGAGCTGGCCACACACACACACACACACACACACAAATAAAAATAAATAAATAAATAAATAATAAATAAAAATTAAAAAAAAAAAGAAAAAGAAAACACGCATCATATTTGGGAAGGAGGTGGGTGACACTACAGAGCTCTGTGCAGATTGTGGGCCTGACACTGGGTTGCATGAGCTGAAACTATGAGCTGTAATTATTTGTATGCCTAAAATATTTAAATCAAAAATTTTTTAAAAATTTAAGAGATCAGAGACGTTCTCTCTTTGCCGCATCTCCCGCAAGAATGAAGACCATTCTTAGCAATCAGACAGTCGACATTCCAGAAAATGTCGACATCACTCTGAAAGGACGCACAGTTATTGTGAAGGGCCCCAGAGGAACCCTCCGGAGGGACTTCAACCACATCAATGTGGAACTCAGTCTCCTTGGGAAGAAAAAGAAGAGGCTCCGAGTTGACAAATGGTGGGGAAACAGAAAGGAGTTGGCAACTGTCCGCACGATCTGTAGCCATGTACAGAACATGATCAAGGGGGTTACACTGGGCTTCCGTTACAAGATGAGGTCTGTGTATGCTCACTTCCCCATCAACGTCATTATTCAGGAGAATGGGTCTCTCGTTGAAATTCGGAATTTCTTGGGTGAAAAATACATTCGCTGAGTTCGTATGAGGGCAGGTGTTGCTTGCTCGGTATCTCAAGCCCAGAAAGATGAACTAATCCTTGAAGGAAATAACATTGAGCTTGTTTCAAATTCAGCTGCTTTGATTCAGCAAGCCACAACAGTCAAAAACAAGGATATCAGAAAATTTTTGGATGGTATCTATGTTTCTGAAAAGGGAACAGTTCAGCAGCCAGATGAGTAAGATCCAAGAGTTAATCCAGCCGCAGAAACAAGCTTCTGGATTGTAAAGCTAATCTGATATTTTAATGAGACAATAAAAGATCTTTATTAAATAGAAAAAAAATTTAAGAGATCATATGAAAAATGGATTCTGTCTCTCTTTTTTTCTCTCTTTCTTTCTCTTTCTCTCTTTCTCCTTTGTTTTTTGAAAATGGAGATTGAGGGCTGGCCAAATAATTCAGCAGATTAAAGCACCTGCAGGGGCTGGGAGTTCGATCCCCAGCATGCCGTGCCAGCCCCCCCCCACGGGGGGGTACTGAGATTGGGCATGGTGGCACAGGCCTATAATCCCAGCACTTGGGAGGCGGAAAACAGGAGGATCACAACGTCCAATCTACTCAGTGTGACCCTGTACAACCTGTCCTAAATACAAATAAATAAATAAATACTTAAAAACAAAACTAGAGATTGAAATTAGGGCCTTACAGTCAGTTACTTTTTATTTTTTATTTTTATTCATTTTTTAAAATATATTTGCTATAGGATCCCACTACACAGCTTGGACTCCTACTGAGCCTCCTGTCTTCAGCCTCCCCAGAGCGAGGATTACAGGCATACGCCACCATGCCCAGTCTCTGTGGCCAGCTCAGCGCACCCAGGGGAGGGCCAGCAGGGCATGTGGTACCAGGGATCAACCTCTGGTCCCTGCTCTTGCCTAAGCAAGCACTTGGTCTGCTGAGCTATCTTGCTGGTCCTACTTTTTATTTTTTATTTTTAGACAGGATGTAGCGAAAACTGAAGGCCAAGACAGCTACACTATGGACGAGGGGGTGGACGGTGATTTCCAGAGGAGAAGTCCTAGGTCAGGGAACTCCAGCACGGGCACGCTTAGTGTGCCTCGGTGTAAGTAACGTACCTCCCCAGGTGAATACTGCCCGCTGGCCACTGTTGTGCACTTTTACTACACACTTGGATTGCTTTGGGCCAAGGGGCTAAGAGCAGCTAACACTGTGCGTGTGACAGCTCAGTCTGGGGGCCATGGACTGCTGTGTGTGCACTAAATTAGAGGATGAATCATGGCTGAGCAGCGGGCCAACCCAGAAGAAAGACGGGTCAAGATGTTCCCAGGACTCCGAGTCTCCTCTCAGGCTGTACATAGCACAGGGGACCCTCCCCAGCCTGAACTGGTCCCAAGACAGAGGGTCTCGCTAACTTGTTGAACTGCCCAGGCTCATACCCACAACCATCCGGCCCCAGCCCACCAGAGTGCGGGGATTACAGGCAAGCATCACCACGCCCAGCTACTTTTTAATTTCCTTTATTGGTAAAATATGTATTCAATCAATTAAAATTAGGAGCAAAAACTAGAAGCTGAGTCAGCACGCTGAAGATAGGCCTGCATTCAAAAGTTGTTTTTAAAAGAAAAGCAAGTTGTTTCTTTGGGGAGATATGGCAGAAAACAGACTATAATGTAGTCGTCTGACTCAGGGCTTGATGCCCATGGGACCACTTGCTTGTCTGAGTTATGAAATAAATCCCAGGGCTCTGGCTGCCCACGTGTTCAGAGAAGGGCCTCAGGTGCCTGTACCCCCACCTCTGCTCCTAGACCCCCGGCCCTTGTCTGAAGCCCCCCTGAGAGCTGACCCAGAAGTCCTCCTGGTCTTGGATCGCTGCCAGCAACCCGCCAGGACCTTTCCACAAAGCTGGCTTCCTTCTCTTTCCTCACCCTCCTTCCAGCTTGTTGACCTTGGATTTCCTCACCACATATAAACAAAACCAAATGGAAATTACATTCCTGAAAGAAATTCTCCGAATAAACCGAGCAATCCCGTAATTCAGCCAGGTAGAACCGACAGCACAGGGATGTCCCCCTCCTCCTGCCTCCTCTTCCTCTAGGGCACCCTCCCCTCTCTGTTGCTGTGGGGTGCTGCCTTAGATGTCTCCCATGTGGTCCCCTGGTTCATCCAGGGTTCTAGGGGTGGCGAGTCCATAAGCGAAGGAAGCTGGTCCAAGTAATTTCATGATTAATGAACCAACTCTGAATCTGCTCTGCTTCCTGTTACTAAGATGATAAAGTTCTCTTATCTAATACACTTACTTCCAGCTAGAATTTCTGAAACATCCAAATTGTCATGAGGATGGAATGAGGAAAATGTTCCTTTTTTTTTTTTTTAGAAAGGCTACAGCATGAAGTGGTGGCTAAGACAAGGCTTAAGGGGATTTCTTAGGGTAACACTATCTATCGGACTAGTGGTTCTTGGACCTGAAACACCACAGTGACCCAGGAGTCTACCAGGAGAACCAAAGCAGGCTCCCCAAGGGTGGGACTGGGAATCCGACCAGGCTGTTTCCTTCTCTGTCAACAATGTGAGACTCACAGGAGGAGCACAGAGGCACTTGGGTATGGCTATTAGAAATAGTTCTAGAATGATTTCTCCTAAGGAATTATAGATAAAGGGCTGAAGACTAACAAAGAGTAGATAGATTTTGAAAGGTGGAGTTTTCCTGTGATCAAGATACTATGTTATAAAATTGGAAGTTGCTGGGAGGTAGCTCAGCGCCACAAGCGCCTGCCTGGCAAGTGCAAGGTCCCATTCAGTTGCTGGTACCAACAAAATAAAATACAAAATTAGTATTAAAAAAAGAATAGGATGATTATCATAAAGACAATTTCCCCTAGCCCTTTGGTTATCTCAGGGTTTTCTTTCTTTTCTTTTTTTTTGGGGGGGGGGGTTTGGTTTGGTTTTTGGCTTGATTGTATTTTGGTTTTTGAAATAGTGGGGACTGACACCAGTGCCTCTGTACTACTGTACTATATCCCCAACTCTTTCTTTTTCTTTTCTTTTCTTTTTTTCTTTTTTTTTCTTTCATTTTTTGACAGAGAGTCTCTTAAATTGCTGAATTCCCTTGGTGGGGCCCAAAGTTGTGATCCTCCTGACTCAGCCTCCTTGCGAGCAGAGATTATAGGGATATACCTCACCATGATGGCAGACCAGGTAATTTTTTAAGAGACTAAAGAAATACACCAAAATGTAAAAGTTAGGGCAGGAGTGGGGGGTGGGGTAGGGGAGGAATCAAGCTAAAAACCCTGATCTCTAACAGCACTCCCGAAATGATCTAGCCCCAGACAGGCGTCACCCAGCTGAGCCGTGTTGATCGCCAGCCAGGGAGCTTCTTCGGAAAGAGGCCGATCTCATTTGGGCGGCCAGGTCCTGGGGCACAGGGACGACCCTGTCACCGCAGGGTGTCGGTGTCATTATTAATCAAACTCTGCTGCTCCTGTTTGGAGCTCCCTTTTTTCAGATTTGTGCACGAGTTAACGAGGAAGCCCTAGAAACCCAAGCTGCAGGTGTCCCGGTGGCGGCCAGCCGCTGTCGCTGTGTGGGTGATCCGAATCCTACAGTGTTCTCTAGCCAAGGCCACCAGGCAATCTACCCTTCGGAGTCATCCTCACAGCACCGCCGAGGCCCCACCCAGCCAGCCTGGAGGGATGCCGGTGAGCTGGGACGCCCTCCAGATGACCAATCAGAGGAGGGCAGGACAGCAGCCCCTGCTCCCAGTGGCCACCCCGCTCCGGCAGAACGCACGGCCTCTGTGGCTGGCGGAGCTTCCTGCCAATCAGGGCGGAGCCAGAGAGACCTCGGCCAATAGCAGGAGGCGGTCGGGTCAGGCCGGCTGCCTGGTGGGGGTAGATGCGCGAGTTCGCGCTGGGGGAGCCACCGCCCTCCGGCTGCGCGCTGGCTCTGGGCCCCTCTCTCCCGCCCGCGCGCGGCCGGCCGAAGCCGCGCCCACCGCCCAGAGCCAGAGGGATGGTGGTAGTCACGGGGCGGGAGCCAGACAGCCGTCGCCAGGACGGTGCCATGTCTAGCTCCGACGCCGAGGACGACTTTCTAGAACCGGCCACCCCGACAGCCACGCAGGCGGGGGAAGCACTGCCACTGCTGCCCCAGCAGGTACCCGGATGCGGGCGGGCAGGCCGGCGGGGCGCGGCGGACCGTAAGGGGCGGGGTCCCCTGCCCTCGCACCTTGGGGCGCCAGGTGTGCGCTCACCTACCCTCAGGTGCTCCCGGACGGCTGGGCAGGTTCACCCCCATCGTGCATCCAGACCCTGTAGCCAAAGACAGGAAGGTGAGGGAACCCGGACCCCCAAGAGGGACAGACCAAAAGGAGGCCTTGCCTGGGGGTTCGCCCGCAGGGTGGGGCATTAGCCTAGCATGCACTGAGTCCTGGGCTCCATCCTCAGTACAGTACAGAGAGAGAGAGAGAGAGAGAGAGAGAGAGAGAGAGAGAGAGAGAAATATAGCAAGGTAACTATACAAATATATAAGTGAATAGATAACAAGATATATATGTATTAATCTGGTAGATATTGATGGGTATATGTCAAAAGGGGCCTTCACTGGGGTGTAGCTATGTGGTAGGGTGTTGGTCAGCTAGGCTCAAGGGACTCTGGGTCTAATCTCCAGTACTGCAAAAGGAAAAAAAAAAAAAAATAATAGTAATAACAAAAGGAGACGTGGACTGCCCAAATCCTACTTTGTGGTCGGTCACCGGGGACGGTGACAAGCAGCAGGCTTACTAATAGATACGACAACTCTGGCTTTCTGCCAGCCCGCTATGATGCACAGTGGCTTCCTTAGTCCCATTTAATATGTGTGACATCATCTGTTATCAATGCCTGAAGTGACCCTCAGCAGAAAAGAGCACAGACAGTGGACACTTCAGTTGGAGTAGAGCAGGAGGTGCATGAGACGTGTAGAGAAGGGACAGAGCCCCAGCGGTGCCAGCCTGTGCAAGGCTCTCCAGTTAGATGCCCTAAACTCCCCAAATCATGGGAAGCTTGTAAAAATAAGCAAAATTTCCCAGTTCTACAGTTGGGGAAAACAGCCAATAGGGACACAGTGGTGCTATTTTTTGTGCCTTGTCATTGGGCAAAAGATGTGGTTTGAGGGAAAAAGCACAAGCCCCATGGGGTGTGGGCCAAGCCTCCCGTTCCAGCAGCCCCTCGGCTCACAGCACTCCTGTGAGCCCTAGAACTCTGCTCTCTCGTTTGTTCCTGTCTCTGCTTCAATCTTCGCAATCTCTAACAAGGAGTAATTGCGTGGATTGCTGTGAAATCTCCTTGGAAAGGCTGAAGGAGCTCCAGAAATGTGGAGTGTTATTATTCTGAAACAGCTTTTGGGTCCTTGGTATGTATGGGAAATGAGTTTAGAGGACGTGTAGAAAAAGCCACAGCCGTCCATTCAGTCCTGTCCCGCTCTTGTCAGCTCTGGATGCAAGGTGAATCTGAGTCATCTATTCATTCATTCATTGATTCATTCATTGATGGGATGTTAGTCTTTATTGTGGCTGAGCCCTGGGTGAGTTTTATTGCTGTATTTTTAGCCTGCTTTATTTTACAAGGAAAATTGGGCCCAGAGCTGTCAGGATAAATGCACACAGACTTTCCCTGGAGCCAGAGAGATGTTACACTGAAAGAAGGCACTGGAATGAAAAAATTGTGCACTGGAGGAAGTTTGTGGGAAAATTAGAGAACTGGACTCATTTCTAACAGATATGGTTTGCTATAAACGAAGAAAGAAAGACATTAAACAAAGAGAAAAAGCCTGGGCACTGTAGGGGGACCTGGAGCCTCCTGGCGCAAATCTTGCCGTCGTTTTCCTGTCCTCACCGAGCCCTTGCTCCCAGAGCCTTAGCTGCCCTTCTCACTGTGCAGATCAAGTGGGACGTGAACGGTGAGGGGTAGCCAGGGAGGACTGATTGGGGCCCAGTCCTCAGGCATCTGCGCGGTGTCCTGGCTCCCCTGCCCTCAGGAAGCGAAGCGCCAGGCTGCTGTGGTGCAGGGGAGTGCGGCTAGATGCGGATCGGGAGAAGGAAGGGGTGTTTAAGGCAGGGAAGGACAGTGGAGTCGAGTGCTCCGGAGAAGGGGATTGTGAGTGGAAGCCTCCCAGCCATTGGGTGCTGCTCGACTACGCGGGCCACGCAGCTGGATCGGCACACCACTTGCCACCACTACTGCCGCACAGGCAGTCTCATCTGCCAGGTAGATAAAGGGAAAATGTAAGAGCATTTTGGGCAAAGAAGAGCATGAATAAGAGGGACCGGAGAGATGGCTCAGTGGAATAAGCGCTTCCCTGACAAGCGCAAGGACCTGAGTTCAGTCCCTGGTTCTGCCAAGAAAAAAAGAAGAGCATGAGGACTGAACACTGCTAAGTTCCAGAAGTGGAGTTGGGGGTGGTTCTGACCCAGGAGCTGTTGGGTACAACAGCAGGATGACTGTAGGCAAGAGGGAGAAGAACGCAGTTAGATGACTCTTGGCCTGCTCCCGCGCCTCTCCCAGCCTGAGCACCCCTGGTTCCCTTCCAGTTTCCTGAGGTTGTCCCGCTCAACATCGGCGGTGCTCACTTCACCACCCGCTTGTCCACGCTGCGGCGCTACGAGGACACCATGCTGGCAGCCATGTTCAGTGGGCGACATTACATCCCCACCGACGCAGAGGGCCGCTACTTCATCGACCGGGATGGCACGCACTTCGGGTATGTGGCTTCCCACACTCAGTGCCCTCGTCCTGGCAAGTGAGTAACCCAGGCTTTGCAGAACTGGGGGATTGAACTCAGGTCCTTGTGCTTACCAGGCAAGCTCTTATTCCACTGAGCCATCTCCCCAGTCCCCCTGGGTTTGAGGTTTTGGCATCATCTGTAGTACTTATTGTAGTGAGGACAAAACATAACAATGAAATTTGGTACATGTTTTCTAGTAACACATAGTGACAGGGGTGGTGAAATTTCTATCCTATGCAAGCCAGTACCCGGGAAGGAGGTGCAGGTGTGATCACCCTAAAGGTAGGGGAGTTTGAAAGCACTTCCTGGAGAAGACCTTGCATTATTGTGCGGAGGACAGCAGGGAGCCACAGAGGACAGCAGTGAGCCTGGGGTGCTGCCGTGACTCCCACACTTCTGTAGTTAAAACAGCCCTGTGTGGTGGTGCACACCTGTAATTCCAGCATTCTGAGAGGCTGAGGCAGGATTCTAAGTTCATCCCAAATAACAAGAAATGAAAAGGGCTTGGGTTGTAGTTTAGCCATAAAACACTGTGGTTTGGTCCCCAGTACTGTAAAACAATAAAACCAAAAGAAAGTTGAAGGAAAGGCTAACATAGGATTACGGTCCCTTCATTTTGTCAAGAAAAGTCTTCTAAGAACAATTTAAAGAATTACTATTCTTACAATAACTTAGACACTAAAACATAAATATACAACCCTAAAATGTTAGCCTTTTCTAGTAAGAGACTTCTGACAAGCTTATACATAAACAGGTTAAAGACTTTGTGTCTCATTGTCCTGTTCGTTACGTGGGAAGTCCTGCTGTTGCCTCCTGAGCCTAGTGAGGATCAGGGAACTCAGAGTGCGCCCCAGCAGGCGTGTTGCTGTGTGCCTCGAGCCAGCTGCCCAGGGCACAGGCGCCCTCTGCCCCTTTCTCCTTGCCGACACCCCCAGAATCGTGCACATGGGCGTGGGCTCATTTTTTGTCCCCTGGCCAGATCATGGCTCTGAAGCATCTGGCTTTCTCCAGTGCGCTGTCAGCTCCTCAGGTGCAGAGAGTATCAAGATGTGACAATGTCACGTTGCTCTGGAGCTAAAAACAATCTTGTTTATAGGCCATTTGGGGGAGAAAAGCACCGAGCTCAGCTGGCAGCTCCCATGGTACCATGAGCAGGGCCCTGCCTCAGGGCTTTGCTTTTCAAGCTCAGGAAGATGTGCTGAGGGTCCCGGAGGACTCATTTCAGAAGGAGCTGTGGGGCGAGAGCAGGGCTGGACAGAGGGCGGGGGGGCCAGGCCTGACAGGCCACGCCAGGTATGATGGGCTGGCCAGGGCAGTGGCAGCACGGTGGCTGCCAGGCGTGCTGACTGTGGCCAAGGTTTAGCAGCAGCAGATGCAGCTGGTGGGGACTCATCAGGAATCCAGGGCACTTGGAGCAGGACCTTTGCCTCTGTCGCAGCTCAGGTACCACACCACAACCCTGTGGGCCTTGGCGGGGCACTTCTGCTGAAGTCTGGACCTCTGTGCTCTGAGCTCAGCTCCAGGTCTGGATCTGAGCCTCTGCAGTGGGGCTGCCTCGGCGAGGGTGCTCCTGAGCCTCATGGTCCCCGCTTACACAGAGGAAGTAAGAGAGCACCCACCTGCGTGTGTAGGAGGATCCACGGACTAAAGCAGGAGCAGCGGCTGATGCTTTCATGCTCAGGGCCAGCGGGGCTGTGTTAGGACTTCCGACTAACTATGGAATGACAGCTTGATCGCAGGATTTACCCACCACTGCCGGCAAGGAATCTGGTAACTCTTAGCACTAACTAGACAATCTGACAGGAAAACTGAACTTTTATTCAAAGAGTGTACACAGTGTGATTTAAAAAAAAAAAGAAGAATGAATATACAAAAAACTTTAAATTTATTTATTTATTTATTTATTTATTTATTTATTTATTTATTTGGTATAAGGTCTTACTACACAGCTCAGACTCATAGTGATCCTCCTGTTTTCAGCCTCCCCAGTGCTAGGATTATAGGCATGCACCACTATGCCCAGTTTCAGTGGCCCACTTGGCGCCCAGAGCTGGGTCCCGCATGGCATGTGGTTCTGGGGATCAAACCCAGGTCCTTGCACTTGCCAGGCAGGTGCGTAGACTGCTGAACTATCTCTCCAGTCAAAAAACCCACAAAACTTTAAATTTAGTACCCGAGTTGCTATTCATCCCCCTGGTTTCAAACACGCTTAGCTCATTGTTCACTTTCTGAAGCAGGTCTGGATGTTTTCGTTTGTGGCTTCAGTCATACTGCAGTGGCTGCCTCAGTATCCAGAGCCGAGTCAGCACTTTCCCCTTCATGGTCATTTTGACTTTGGGGAAGAGCCAGAAGTCATGTGGGGCCAGATCCATCAACTTGGGAGGATGAGGATGCACCGTCATGTTTCTATTTGGCAGAAATTTTCCATTTGACCAGCAATGTGTGATAAGTATATACAGCGAATGTTTATATTTAAAAATTTGTGGCAATAAGAGACACAGTGAAATGCTGAAATAATCCCTTGCCTTTGGACCCTTAATCCTTCTTGGAAATGTATCTTTTATTGAAAGAAGTTTTTAATTTAGACATGAGCTTTAAACATGAGTTTTGTATGTGATTCTTCTCAGTCCTGGCACCAGGTGGTTTAGGATTAGAATTGGACATTTAATCTTCCCTACATAGGTACAGAGTAGTAGTAAGAGCAAGAATGTGGAACAGCTAGGACCCTTATCCATTATTGGCCAGGAATGTAAACGGCTACAACTGCTGTGTTAAACATGCATTTCTTCTGGGAGTGAATTCTGTTCCTAGCATCTCCCTGAGAATGGGTGCTTGGATCCACCAAGGAGCTTCTCAAGAAAGTTTGTCACAGCTTTAGCCATGGTAGTCAGAAGTCAGAAACAACCCAAAGGTCCATCGAGAGAATGAGTAAATACAGTATACCCATACCGTGACATACCGCTTATGTGATGAATGATAACAACCATAAGCAGAAGCAGACTACTAGCACATACAGAAACTTACACTGAGGGAAAGAGCCAGATATGAAGGAATGTGGTTATGACTGTATGAATTCAAGAAAATGCAGACCGGGCTAGCCAGATAGCTTAGCGGACAAAAGTGCCTGCTTAGGCAGGCTCAGGGACCAGGGTTCAATCCCCATGTGTCACGCCAGCTTTATCCCCGGGGCACGATGAGACCGAGAGTGAGACTGGGTGTGGTGGCACGCACCTGCAATCTGAGTATTTGGGAGGCTGAACACAGGAGGATCACTCTGTTTCAGATCTATATAGTAAAACTCTGTAGATCCTGTGCTAAATACCTTTGAAAAAAAAGAAGGAAATGCAGCCCTAATCTTTGTTGCTAGAAGATGACGGAGCGTGAGCCGCTGTAGCGGCTCTCTGGGAGCGGCACCAGGAGAGCTTAAGGACTTGGAAGTGCCCGCTGTCTTGCTTCAGGTGGTGGAGAGCGCTGCGTGTATTCCTGCTTTCACCAGTCGCTGAACTGCATAGTTACGGCTTGTACATTTGGGCTTGGGATGTAGCGCAGTGGTAGAACACTTGCCTCCTGCACAAGAGACCCTGGGTTTCATCCCCAGCACAACAGAAAGGGAAGAAAGGCTGGGCATGGTGGCATACACCTGCAGTCCCAACATTCTGGAAGGCTGAGGCACTTAGTAATTTTGTGAGACCTTGTCTCTAAAACATGAAAAATGGGGGCAGGGGCTGGAGACAGAGCTCGTTGTGAAGGCCCTCAGTTGGATCCCTGGTACCATCACCACCAGAAAAAAAGAAAACTAAGATTTGCAGATTTATTGAATAGCAGTTATATTTTATAATTTAATATATTATACATACCAGGGCTTTCAAGAACACTGAGCTACAGCGGATTAAAGCACCTGCTTAGGCAGATGCAGGGGCCAGGGGTTTGATCCCCAGCCTGCTGTGCTGGCCCCGTCCCTGGGGCTTACTGAGACAGTGAATAAGACTGGGCACAGTGGCACGCACCTGTAATCCCAGCACTTGGGCGGCTGAAAAACAGGAAGGATCACTACAAGTCCAATCTGTGTAGCGAGACCCTGTACTAAATACATTAAAAAAAGAAAAGAAAGAACACTGAGCTAGTGAATAAATGAGCCCTAGTTATTGTTTGTTTTGCTTTGTTTTTGTTTTTTGAGACCTGTAGTTCAGGTCGGCCTTGAAGTCCCTGTGTAGCCCAGGCTGGCCTCAAACTCCAGGCGATCTTCCTGCCTCAGCCTCATGAGTGCTGGGATTAGAGATGTACACTACCACACCTGGCATCATTTTGCATTTTTAAAGGTCTTGCTAAATTGCCCAGGCTGGGCTTGAGCTTTTGATCTTCCTGCTTTATTCTCCCAGAATGTAAGGATTACAGGTGTTCACCACCACACCCAGGTAATTGTAACTTTTTAAATGATAGCTTCTATTGTTAAAACTGTGTGTATGTGTATTAAGGAGTTAGGCGTCGTATCTTTCCATTATACTTATGTGTAGCTAATATACTTAACATAATGATACTGACAGCAGAAACTAATAACACTCATTGAGGGCTTCCTTTGTGTCAGAAACTTCAAGCATTTTTCATATACTCGTTTAGTTCCCTCCTAATACTAGAAGGTAGTTGTGTTACTGTTTCTCCTTTTGTGATGAGAAAATCAGGGTGCAGAGGGGCCAGCTTCTCTCACCCAGGGTCACGCAGCTGGTGGGTGGGTCCCAGATATTCTGTGTTCTGAGCCCACGTGGTGCCCACCCAGGCCTCTGAGTCCCTTGTCACACATCCCGTCCTCGCCCACAGAGATGTGCTGAACTTCCTGCGCTCGGGGGACCTGCCGCCCCGGGAGCGAGTGCGGGCTGTGCACAAGGAGGCCCAGTACTATGCCATCGGGCCCCTCCTGGAGCAGCTGGAGAACATGCAGCCGCTGAAGGGCGAGAAGGTGCGCCAGGCTTTCCTGGGGCTCATGCCGTATTACAGAGGTGAGCGCCCTGCCCCGGACAGATGGATGGACAGATAGACGGTAGGGTGGAAGGAAGGTAGCGAGGGCTGTATCAGTGCCGGGGTCGCTACCAGAACGGGAGGTCCTAGGGCCCTCCACGCTCCTGAGATGATGGGAGAGGCTGGCCTCATGTGGTCTCACCAGTGCGCTGGGAAGGCTGGTTCAGGCAGGCCCACCTTGCCGTGCCAGTCAACAAGTTGGATTTTCAAAGGGCAGTCCTCACCTGCTATGGAGAAAGGCGAGAGGTCCAGGAGTGCCCTTCACCTCTGTCCCTGGCTCCCTGGGTGGCTCCCCACTGCCCTCTCTCCCCACCCCCACTGAGGGATGCTGTGTTCACCCCGTAGACCACCTGGAGCGGATTGTGGAGATCGCCCGGCTGCGTGCAGTCCAGCGGAAGGCCCGCTTTGCCAAGCTCAAGGTGTGTGTCTTCAAGGAAGAGATGCCCATCACCCCCTACGAGTGCCCCCTCCTCAACTCCCTGCGCTTTGAGCGGAGCGAGAGTGATGGGCAGCTCTTTGAGCACCACTGCGAGGTGGATGTGTCTTTCGGGCCCTGGGAGGCTGTGGCTGACATTTACGACCTATTGCACTGCCTGGTCACGGACCTTTCAGCCCAGGGCCTCACTGTGGACCACCAGTGCATCGGGGTGTGTGACAAGCACCTCGTCAACCACTACTACTGCAAGCGCCCTATCTATGAGTTCAAGATCACGTGGTGGTGAGTAGCCCTCTAGGCAGAGCGTCCTGCCAGGGAAGGTGTCCTGCCTCCATGGCGGCTCTGGGATAAGATCCCTGTAGAGGCTGCGAGTCCTGAGCTGCAGCTCTGAGGGGACAGAGGTGTGGCTCTGCGATCCCTGGCTAAACCTCAGGGTCAGTCTTGGGGCTGGTGGCCTTTGGGGACTTGGAGTCTGCTCTCACCTGACCTCTCCTCAAGGCATGGCAGTCTTCACTTAAGGCCAATGGAGTCCAGTGAGGGTGTCGCCGGAAGTCCAGAGAAGTTTTGTCACCTTGACCTCAAAGGAGAGATTTGCACACAGAAGCACAGTACCAAGGTAGCACGGCCCCTTCCTCTGTCCGTCCTGGCATCTGACCTGTGCTCAGTGAGTCAGTGTGAACTGGCGTCGGTGGAGGATGTGTCCAAGTAGCCACCCTGCAGCCCCCATCTGAAGAAAGGTGGGTCCCGTTCCTAGGCATCCCTTGGCCCCCAAGAGCAGTCCCCCGTGCTGTCTGCAGAGAATGTACTTCCCCGTCTTTTAGAGATCTAACATAGTGAACAAAGCCGGGACCGGGTTGGCCTTAGAAAACCACAGTGCTTACAGCTGTGCCGAGCTCCAGGCGGGTCATCTTCCACAGGGCTGGAAAGACGCAGGGTCTTCCCAAAGGTTCCCCAGTGCTGGCAGGCAAGACGGCGCAGCCCTCTGCTATTCTGAAGTCACATCGTTTTTAGAGGCTCAGAACACCTCATTGCCTGCCATGTTGTACGATAGGATCCAGTTTACAGTGAACCTTTCAAAGGGACTCTGCGCTCTTGCTCTGTTCTGCCACTGCCCTCCTGCTCAGAGGTTCCTGTCCTGAGAAAGTAAAGGAAGAGCCAGGAGTCCTAGGAAGACCGCAGCAAGCCTCCACTGTGTTTTACTTCCCATATTTCAGAAAAACCTCCAAAACCGTCTCTTCTACTGCATTTCCTTTTTGCTCTGTGTGCAGCTGGTCAGGGTGTGGACAAGCAGTGCACCGCATCTCTGGTCAGAACAGAACGTTTCCATGCTGCAGTAAGGGTTTCCTGTGTTACCACGGTCTCGCCGGACCATTCCTGGGTGGTTCTGAAGGGAGGAGTTTGTATCTATAGGCACAGTGACGTGTCCAGTTCTCTAGCTGAGGGAAGCTGAGGCAGGGGGATCACGTGAGCCCACAAGGCCAGTTCTGGTAACGGGGAGAGGTGAGAACAGCAACACTGACCTCAGTGTAACAGAGCAGATAGGTAAGGGACCAGGGGAGCTGAGTACAGGTGTGTCGAGAGGGAGAAAGGCCAGCGTCTGGGACCACCTGGATTGCTCCCTGGGCTGGAACAGAGGTGGGGACAGAGGTCCATGAGGAAAGAACCATCGGTACCCACCCTTGTTGTGTCCCTTCCCTTGTTCTTGACGTCCCTGCTTGGCACATTTCTCTATGACAGGACCCCTGCCTTGTTCTCACAGAACTTTTCATTCAGGTTTCTTTGGTTCCTATTACCCATTGTCTCATATATGTTCCTTCTCTTTTCTTGGGTAATACAAGGTTTCTCTATGCAGACCAAGCTGACCTTGTAGCCCAGACTGGCCTCAAACCTGGCACAGTCCTCCTGCCTCAGCCTCCTGAGTGCTGGAATTACAAATGTATGTGACCACACCCAGCATTTCTCTTTGGTGGCGAGGGGTTATGTGTTCATTTTCTGACAGACTTGACTTCCTGGAGGAGGATGTCCACAAGTCTGCAGCAGATAGCTAGGCCCAGGGCTTTCTATCTGGCTTCAGCCTCATCCTCAGCCTGGCCCTCATCATGGTAACTGGCCATTCAGAGTCCATGTGTGCACAACAGGGACAGAGCTGGCTCACAGAGTACAGCTTTGCTCAAGACACGGGATCTTGGAGCTGCGGAGATAGCTCAGCGGCGTAAGTGCCTGCCTGGCAAGCACAAGGTCCTCAGTTCAGTCCCCTGTAATCACAAAGAAAAAAAGAAGAAGAAGAAAAAAAACAAACCCCACAGGCCCTGAAAGCTTGACTCCAAAGGGTCTTAGGATGCTAAACAAGGACAATGTCCCTGTGCCTCTTGGTGGAGATTCCCTCTGTTCCTATGTCATCTCACTGCCTGTGAGGTGGAGAGGGAACAGTGACAGTGGGCTTTGGATCTCACTCTGAACCTTCCCCTCCTCTCTGTTTCTCCCTCCCTTTTTTCCTACCTCCCCGCACCTCCTGTTCCTTGCTCGTTTTGCCTCACTTAGAGACGGTGTGTCACCGGTGGGGCCGGGCTGGTTTCAAGCTCCTGGGCTCAGGCCATCCTCCATCCTCAGCCTCCTGAGTGCTGGGGCTGTAGACACTGTTTCTGCTGTGTTTGTCCTTCTTGTTTTTAGTTCTACTGCGTTCTTCCTTTGCTCTTTGTATCCTAACATTTGTGGGTATTGGAGCAGAATATGTACTGAATCCCCTTGTCAAAAGATTTTTATAGAGAAAGAACAAGCCCCCTTCTTTACCCAGAATACCTCTACTTTTTTGTGACAACGGGAGCTTTTCTTTATACTGAAAAATGTATTTATGACAAGTCTTCCTTTAACTAGTGGGACAGAAATATGAAGGAACACATGCTGTTTGAGGGATTCACCAGCCCACACTCTTATTTACCCTCTAACCTGCTCTGCCCTCTTTGAGCTCTTCTGCGTAGAGTAACAGAATTCAGTGGCCTCGTTTGGCCCCTTTGCAGAAAAGCCAACAGGCTGAAATGTGCTGTTGGATGAGGTGCTTTGTGATGGCTTCCAAATAAAGCGATCATCTCTGCAGGAGTCCGTGTGATCCCTTGCCAGCCCCAAGCAGCCTCCGCGGGCACAGGCCTCTCCTGGCTGAGAGGCATGTGTGTTCGCGACATTCTTGCGTTATCTCATACACAGCTCCCCTCTTGAGTGGAGACTGGCGTCATCTTGCCCTGAGACAGTCGACGCCCAGGAGCCTCCTTTGAGTCTGGCTGTGGGCACATTTTCCCTGGTGTGATGCTCACTGGCTGGGCAGGTGAAGGCCTGGGAACCACGCTGACGCGTGCCACATCCTAGGGCAGGGGCTCTTCAGTAGCTTTCTAACTAGGAGAAAAGTGTCTTCGCCACCCTTAGCGGCCATGGCTGCCCAGGCCTTCCAGCCACAAGCCCTGGAACTTCCTGTTTTCCCAGCCCTTCCTGAGGCCCGCGATGCCCCAGGCTGTCCAGGCTCATGCCTCAGGCTGGTCAGGTGATGGCTCATGTGTGCTGAGCACTCGGGGCTGAGCAGGAGCAGACACAGAAGAGGAGCACATTTGTGGGTGATCCTGGCCAAGCTGCAGCCAAAGGGGTGAAGACAAAACAGCAACAGGAAAACCCACTCCCTGAGCATTTGGATCCTAAGAAGAATGACAGACATGACATGTCCGCGCACCTCCTGTCCCTGCTCTGATATACATGATTGTGCTTTTTGGGGTGCTGCTTTGGGAGCTCTTGGATGAAGGTAGTGCTTGTCTCCTGGTGCTGAAAAGAGGGGCATTTTTTAGAGTGTTGGGAACTGGGGTGGGAAAGGCACTTTTTAGAACCCTAGAAGAAACAGCATGGGAGGAGGAAGAGGTGGGGTAAAGGGTGGGTGGAGAAAAGTTCCCAGGTCTGTCATTTTCCCTGGACTGTGTGGGGGTTTGTACACAGCAGAACACTGCTGTGTGTGTTTACACACATCTGGGAGTGCATGCAGCCCCAGCACCCTCAATGGCAGTAAAGCTGAGAACTAGAACCTGGCTGCCTCCTTTTCAGACGTGTCCTCACCCCCCACCCTTTGTGCTCTGCCAGCAGGGTGTTTGGTGTCTGCTTTGCGTGTGATGTGCCACTCTGTGCTTTGCGACACAGTAGGACTGGCTCTGCCCTGCAGCCAGTGCTAGGTTTCTACCCTGACTCGAGCTTGAGGGCAATGGGATGGTAACATGCTTCTGGAGTTAGTACTCGGTCCCGGTCACCCCAGGTGAGAGACACAGCGCTCTCCTTTGGAGAAGCGGCCACAACTGACCAGTCACGACTGACCAATCACGGCCCGTGGTTCTGAGAGCAACCCCTCCTGTCCAGCCACAACTTTGCCATGGGAAATCAGTGCTATAAGTGTGCATGAGCCTGGTTAAGGCCAGGATGTCCTTGGGGAAGGTGGCACCACAGTTTGAACACCCTCCTGAGGCTGCCCCAGAGTCCCTTCCAGCTGAGCCTGCACAGGGGAGCTCTGAGTGTGGGCCAGCTCCTCTGCCTTCCTATTGCTTTCCTTGCATCTGTGGTGATTCTGACTTAATAAAAGCATTGCATCGTCCTTGCCAAATATTCCTCCTGACCTCATTACCAAGCACACAGCCGCCTCATAATGGGCTATAAGATCTTCTGGGTTCTACAGCTACTTTTGCTTAACTCAATGAGAAGAAAGAGGTGTACTAACAGTGTTTGGACAGAATATCCTGTCTGCTTCTTGTACTGTGGATAACCACTAAGAAGATAACAATGTACAGTGTATTGACTATCAAAACTGTCCTATTAACCAGCTGTGAAACTGTCTCATATTTATTTCTCAATAAAAAAATAAATATATTAAAAAAAAAAAAAAAAAAGATCTTCCGGGTTGGAAACGAGCTTATAGCAGCAGCATTTCCGCGGAGCATGTAGCCAGCCAGAGCCAGATTCAAACCCACAGTCCCTGTCTGAAACCCTTACTGTGTTCAGAGGTCTGAGTCCACCCTTGGCCGCCTCACTGCCCTACTTGGAGGCTCAGGGCTTTACCCTGCCGACCTATAAAGATGTGTAAAACATGTTTCCAGAAGGAAAGTTAAAGCAGTTTCCCTAAGCTGGGTACAGCGGTGTGTGTCTTCAGTCAACTATTCAGGAGGCTGACACAAGAGGATCACAAGCAAAACCAAACTGAACTTCCCTAGACAAGTAGGCCTTCAGTAGCCCTCAGCAATAAAGAGACGGACAGGGTCCCCGCTTTGGAGCCCTGGGTAGTGAGGGACACATGCTGCTGGTGGCCAGTGGCCCCGAGTGGGTGAGCAGTGGCTCCCTATGGGCCAGCACAACCCTACTGTGGGAGCCCAGAGTCATTCAGACCCGGGCAGCCCAACAGACCTAACTGCAGCTGTGTGGGTCTGCGAGGTTCTGTCCTGGCACCAAAGAAAACAGAAAGGCAGAGTTGCTGGGTGTCTGGCTTGAACTTCATGGCCCTCGGACTCTGGATCTTTATCTCGCGCATCCCTTCGTCTTTGTGAGGATAACTTCTCAGCTGGCTTTATTTTCAATTTTGATTTATTCAATTTGCACTATGTTCCTGTAGCATCTCTTTAACTTTGTATTCCTCATTCCTTACTCTTTAGCTTTTCCTACCATGTATTATCGCTTAATTCCTCTAAATTTTACTTTTATTCCACTTTTTTTTTTCTTTCTGAGACAGGGTCTCCTAATTCAGTTTAGGTGGACCTTGAACTTACTGTGATCCTCCTGTCCTGAGTGTTGGGATTACAGGCATGCACCACCATTTCTGGCTTAATTTCTATAATTTAAAATATGATTTAAACTGTTTCTAACATATCTTGTAAATGAAGAGCATATGTGAATTGGATGCTGGGGAAGGTAGTTCCTATTCTGAGCGAGTGTGATTACATAGGTGTTTCCTTCTGCCTGCACCTCTGCTGCCATCTTCTTAGCCATGCTTTAGGTTCTTCACTTCTTCCTTGCATGAATACTTCCTTGTAAAATTGAAATACAAGGGGAAAAATAGCATTATGCAAAATGTATATACCTGTATTATCTAGTAGATTCAGTAGCCAGGATTATACTTCTGCCTCCAAGATGCTACCCTGCCTCCAAAATATGCGTGTGTGCACACACACACACACACACACATGCATGCATGCACGCACGCACACTCTAGTAGAACAGCATTAGGAATAGGGAAGCTCAACTGGCCAGCTGAGGAACGGCATGGTCTGGAGCCCTGGGGAATCTCCCCTTAGTTTTCTTTCACCGTAACAAATACCTGAGGTAAGTGACATAAAGAGCAAAGGGTTGTGGTGAGAGTGCCCAGTGTGCAGGGCTTCAGCGTGGCTGGGCTTTGAGACGGGGTCTGCAGTGTTGCCAGGCTGTCTTCCAACCCCTGGGCTCGAGCCAGCCGGTACCTGGGGTAGCAGGACAAGCCACTACGTCCACCTGGGCAATTAAGCCTTTCACTCACGGGCCTTTGGGGGACATTTAAGATCCAGGATCCCAGATACCTCCTACAGCCACCTGCCACTGACTGGAAACGGAAGCTCTGTGCACCAGGAGAGAATCCAAGCAACTATGGGGAGGACAAAACTATCTGGAAATGCATGATCACAGGGTCTGCGGGCAGGTTCTGATGCACCTTTTCCAGCATTCTCTGACCTCCCATGAGCCTGGCCCACCCTCAGCAAATCAGGGCTCTTAGAGAATTACCTAAGGAGTGATGGAGCCGAGTGGTTTTATAGTCACATGGTCTCGCCAGGGGACCTTGCCTCAGTATATCTTTGGAATAAGAGGATCCACACGTAATCGTAACTACCACCAAGAAAGAAGATCCCAGAAGACCAGCTGGGTGTGGAGGTGCATGCCTATAATCCCAGTACTTGGGAGGCTGAGGCAGGGGGATCTTTGCAAGTTCAAGATCAGCCTGGGCTACAAAATGAACTCAAGGTCAGCCTGAACTGCATAGTGAGACCCTGTCTCAAAAAGAAAAATAATATTAAAAGAAAGAAAGATCACAGTACAACAAAACTCAAAGCTTGGTCCCCATAAGTTCAGAGTCGAGTCGAAGCCGTGTGCTATGTTATCGCCATAAAGGTGACAGAACAGAATCAGGGATAAATTTAAATCCTAGAATGTGTAGCGACCCCCGCAGATGTCCTTTGTGCCAGGTCTCCCAGTGTTGTGTCATGGTCACTTCCCCTAACTGTTGCTTCACATTGTGTCATCTCCACCTCACCCTTGCTCATGATTGTCCTGGGGCTTCCACTTCTGCCCTTGCCCTCTCTGGCATGTAGTACATGACCATAGAGAGACCCAGTCCCCAGGGCTGTCCCCTCTTGAGCATGTTGGATGTCCCAGGTTTTCCAAGATTTCCTGTCTGGCCTGCTCAGACTTGGAGAGTATTTTAAGGCCACCTCCACAGCTGCAGCCACAGCTCCTGGAAAATCTGTATCCATTCACGCTGAGGTAGATCCTCTAAGATCATGTAAATATGACCCATGGAGACAGCAGCAGAAGGTGCCTGCAGGAGCCCACTGGGCACTCATGCCAGCTTTGCCCTCTACCCTGTCAGCGCCATGTTCGTGGAGCCCCTTATTATTTGTTTAAAGTAGTGGGGATTGAACCCAGTGCCTTTGCACTGAGATACATCCGCAGCCCTTTTATTTTATTTTTTCCTTATTTTTTTATTTTGAGGGAGGGTCTCATTAAGTTACTGTGATGCCCACACTGGGCTTGAACTAGGAATCCTCCTGCATCAGCTTCCTAATCCTGGGATTGTAGGTGTGCACCACCTTGCCTGGCTTCATAGAGCTTCTTAACAAAAACATGGTCTTTCCTGATGACGATAACTATGTCATTGCTAGCTAACAGGAGGGTGGCGTTGTTCACCCGGTACCCCGAGGGATCAAGGTGAAATGTTAACATATATCTGCAGACGTGTGCAGGGGATATTTCAGTTGTTTAAAATTAATTGATTTATCTTTTTGAGACACAGTTTCACTATACAGTTTAAGTTGGCCTTGAACTCACTTTGTAGCCCA